ACGCCCAGCAGGAACTCATTAGCATAATAGGCCACAGCCAACAGCAGAAATCCATTAGGATTGGCTTCATTAGGGGTGTGTGGCCTGACATGCAAAGGAGTTCCTGCTACAAAAAAAAGCCCTGGGTTTTGACAACAAACAAGGTAAACAGAATAAGAAGCAAAAGGTGGGTGTGGCTGGATAACCACACTTCTGGTAACATGGGGGTGCGTCCTAATGTGCTAATGAGCTGTGCTGGCAGGGGTGTGGCCTAATATGCTAATGAGTTTCTGGTGTTGGGTGTGGCCTATTATGCTAATGAGTTCCTGCTGGGCTTTTTCTACAAAAAGAGCCCTGCTTACATCATTCTCTTCCCCTCTTTTTTCCTCAAAACAATCCTGTGAGGTAGGTTCAACTGAGAGCTAGTAACTGATCCAGCAAGCTTCTATGTCAGAGTGCGGGTCTGAACCTGGCTCACCCAGATCCTAGTCCAGCACTCTTAACCACTACAACACAGTGGCTATAACTCCCCTCCTGCTATTGCCGGGGACACCCTGTCCCCAGGAGGATTTTCGGGAGAATTCTGGGCTACAGCAAGCAAGTAGAATCCTGTACTGCTGACTGAAATCCCTTCTGTTAGCGACGATTTACTGCAGGATCCAAGCTACACACCAATAAGTGCAAAATGATGGACTGAACAGCACTGATCCTAGAATACAGCAAAGAGAAGCCAGGTACCCCAAGCAAAACTCTACACATGAACACACACAAAGATACCTTATACTGAGGCAGACCACTGTGTCTATCAACTTCTGTTTTGTCTACTCTCATTGGCAGTGGCTCTCCAAGGTCTCAGGTAGTCTTTCATATCACTTAGTAGCTAATCCTTTTAACTGCAGATGCCGAGGACTGGAGCTTGGGCCTCCTAAAAGCCATCTAGATGCTCTACTACTGAGCCACAGCCAATCTCAGCAATGCACTATAGACGCACCACCCAAATGCTTTCAAATTTGTGTTCAGGAGACTACGGGAAGCAATTCTAAACAGGTCTACTTAGAGGTAAGTCCAATTTCATTAATTGAGGCTTCCTTCCAGGAAAGTGTTCTCAGGACTGGAGCCCACGCAACTTTGATGCTCTACAATAACCAATGAAGCAGTTTGCAGAAACTGAAAACCTCCAATCCCCTACATTCAAAAGCCTAAACTTCACACAGCTCTAGGGATGATTTTTGAATTTCTCATCTCATTATAGGCTGAAACTCCCTGTTCCAATTTTATTCTTCCTTGTAGTTCTTTATTTTCTCTTTCCCAGCACCAAATCTTCCCCCGTAAGAATGTACACATTTCAACACTATTTATGTATCAATAAATATTTATATTATGCATACAGACAATGCATACTGTATGCATAAATACAGTATGAAAACCGCACAGGATGCACACACAGTACAAACAAATCCTCAAATCAGCTCCAAGATCAGATATACAAAGCTGCCATTGACAAAAAAAATATTAATGGATGTTTTAAAAGATGCAAGGAATAAACAAGGCCAGTAAACACACTGGTCCACAGCAGACTCCAAAAACAAAAGCCATGTTGTTACAATTTAGTAAGACCTATCAAATTAAGACAACACAGTGCGCAGAACACAACAACAGCTGAGTTGGTCTTAATGAAAGTTATTACAAGGCTTTTGTTTTTGGATGCAAGGAACAATTAATCACCCCTACCCCGGAGGAGAGGAGGGTTGTGCCAGGATAGCCTACACCACATGTGGCTTGTATCCATTCATGTAAATTACTGATTTACTGTATTTTCTGCCATTTACTAAACAGCACTGGCATCAGTCTTTGGATCTGACAGCAGTTTCGGGGAAATAGCAAAAATATGCCCTTCGCAGGAACTGGCTTTCATTTATGTGGCAGCTGATGTCAAAGTGGGGAAATGTGAATGGATATAAGCGGAAACAACCATTTGCAACAAATGACAGCAGCAACATAAGCAGGTCTACTTAGAATCCCATTTAAGTCTACTCAATGGGGTTTAATCCCATGGAATTGCTTTTAGGACTGCACTGTTAGCGTGCCATTATTACTTGGGAGTAAGGCCCTTGGAACACAGTGGGATTTACATCTCCTTTGCCTATCTTTCGTTTGAGGTTATCCGGTTCAAAGAGAAAATAAATACATACTGCTATTTCAGATGGGCCGATTCTGCATTCAGAGAGGAAAAATATCACTCAACAAGTGTGAATCATTTAATATAAAGTATCAAAATATTTCACACCGGGGATATGCTGCTTATGACCAGTGTTCCCTCTAAGCTGAGTTAGTGTGAGCTAGCTCACGGTTTTTTAGCCTCCAGCTCACACATTTTTGTCTTAGCTCAGGAAGGATGGCTCCAGAGCAAATTAATTTATGCAGTAGCCAAATTGCTCGCTCACAACTTTAGTGCCAGTGGCTCACAAAGTGGAATTTTTGCTCACAAGACTCCACAGCTTAGAGGGAACATTACTTATGACATACCCCACCACACAAACTAACACACTGTGTGACTCCGAGAGGTCTCTTTCTTCTTTTCAAAATCATCAATGCTACTTCACAGCCACTAGTGTCACCCACAAATGCCTCATGGTGCAAAGATTCTGCCACAGACATATATGGGAGGAGGGGGCGGAGCAAACAGAAATACAAAGAACTGCAAACAATATATATGAGCTCCGTAGTGGCATCCACCATCCAATTAGGATAGCCAACAGACCATAAAAAAGCCAGTGAACAACATGCTGGACTAAGACTAATCTCCACCATGAAGCTCAACAAGTGATCTCTGGCCAGACAGTCGCTCATCCTCAGTGAAGCCTACCTCACAGGGCTGTTGAGAGGATAAAATGGAGAGCCAGCTATGTACACTACTCTGAGCTCCTTGAAAAAAGGGCGGACGACAGTATGATCAACTGAACATGTCCACCAGCAAACCAGGGCCTGCCAAAGCTAACCTGGAGTGTAGCAACACAACTCTTTTCACCTGTGCTCATTCAGGTAACTGAAGCACGAGAGCCACAAAACTTATACTCCAGGCACCTATCTAGAGGGTAAAGTGTGACTAGGACAAACACTGGCATTACACAGGGACACTAGGATTACATTTGTGCACATAAGTGTGGGAAGAAATGCATAAGATTCAACAGCAGTTTTATGAGCATCACTCCTCAGCGAGCCAAGCCTATGTGTTGCTTTCAGCATTTCCCTCTTTAGCAGTAATACACGGGGGGGGGGGGGGGGGGGGGGAACGGCACTAACTAAGTCAGAGACCCGACCCGAGCCGACAGTAACAGTAACAGCAACAACAACTACAACCACCACCATAGGGGGTGCCGGTAGGTTGCCCCATCCCCATATACATACTGCGGCCCTAGTTAGGGAAAAACGGTGATTAGCACCAAAAATCTGTAAGCCGCTTAGAGACCCCTAGACAAAGGGTTCGAGCGGGATATCAAATCGAATGTATAAATAAATAAATAAATAAATAAATGCTGTACCACTGGAAGTACCCCTGAAAAAGTGGAAGAATTTCTGCAGTAAAATACAATAAGCTGCAAGGAGGTCCCTGTTGCTTTCTTCAACAGAAATGTGACAGGCCTGCAGAGCAATCCTAAGAAGAGTTACGCTTTCTATGTCCAGTGAAGTCAAGAGGCTTAAGGGGGTGAAACTCTTTTTAGGGTGGCACTCGTGAAATGTTATTTTAATACAGACCTAAGACACGGGATCAAGTCAAGTTTAACCCATGGCCTAAACCTTCCCCGTCTTCCTTTGAGGGCAACCCTCTGGCCACGTTGCCGTTCCTCCAAGAAAACACACATTTGAGGGTGGCCCTAGGAGGAAAGGCGAAGGGCCCTGGGAATGTTTTGTTTGGAGAAGAGGAGATTGAGGGGGGACAGGATTGCTCTCTTTAAATATTTGAAAGGCAAGGAGCTGTTCCAGTTGGCAGCAGAGGATAGGACCCGAAGTAACGGGTTTAAATTAGACACAGAAAGGTATCGGCTGGATATTAGGAAAAACTTTTCCACGGTCAGAGTGGTTCAGAGGTGGAATCAGCTGCCTAGGGAAGTGATTAGCTCCCTTTCACTGGCAGCTTTCAAGCAGAGGCTGGACGAATATTTGTCAGAGATGCTTTAGATGCTGGTCCTGCATTGGGCAGGGGGCTGAACTAGATGGTCTGTATGGCCCCTTCCAACTCTATGATCCTATGATTCATCGTCTGACCAACATTTAAAATTTAAAAAAATACAGTGTCTGTCACTACAACTCAACTGTTTGGAAACAAGCACATACCAACTATCTCTTCCCCACACACCCACACACACACTGACATGAGAAGGAGACATATACAAGTGGTCCTCTAGGATCTAAGGTACCAGCAA